CTCTGCCACTAAAAAATAGGGGTGTTTTCAGCAAAAAACGAATAACCCTGGAATACACACAATATACTGAATTTCGGAACAAATCGTGCATTACTTACAGCAGCAGAATACCACAGAAATATCAGACGAAACATGAAAACACTATATATTGTATTTCAGCCTGAACCCTCTATATTGCAATTCAAGGAATTAACCCCATATGTGCATCCATTTCCCACCTTGGTATCACCCACCCCTGAAAACAAACTCTTAATACCACGCTGAAGCGTTTGGTAATAACCCTGACTTCTTTTTGTTGGGGAGGCACATATAGAACACTATTTACTTGCAGAAGTGGAAGACAGATTAAAAAGCATCATCATCACATGCATTCAAGTACACATCATAAGATTCTCGATTACAATTGCCATCAGGTGTGAAGACATATCTGTGGAATGTTCCATCCATACATACAGCAATTACAGATGAAGCAGACCCAAATGCACATATACATGCACATTCCGCAGGAACTGTAAAATGAGCCAAGCCCCACTGTGATTCCACATACTGGCCTAGTACTTTTCCCATCTTTGAAAACCTAAAAAATATAAAATTATTGAAAATGTAATCAATCAGAAAAATGACAGTCCCTAGTTATACTGGCTGCTGAACTACTTTTAAGGTTGAACACAGGATTTATCAGACATACTAGTAGTAAATTTACTTACTTAGATCTTCTGTTCAATGTTGTATCTCCGAGAGCAAAGACATGTACAGTCCCCTTGTCACTGGATGCAGCCAGAAAAGATGAGTCGGCACTAAAGTTAATACTGAAAAATAAACCTACTGTAAATAATAAAGTATAAACAGTGTACAGCTATGTGAAATATAATTAATTCATATTATTTAGAGAGACATTATTAAACAGTATATGAATATACTGTGAGTCCAACTCCTGACTACTGCCTTGCTAACTACTACTTGTTTGCTACTCAGTATTTGGTCAATTAATTAGGGTAGTATATAAAGCACTCAGGAACTTGACTTGTGTCCAGGCTTTAGGCACTAGGTATATAAAACATTTACATTATTTTTTTTTTTATATACCATATTAGTAGTACATGCACTCACATAAATGACAGAACTGTAACTATTGTCAAAAAAATGTCATTTTAATGATCCAGTATACCATATATGCAAATGTTCATTTACAAGCCCTTCTAATAGAGCAAGTACTGTATCTAAAAACACAATGGCTTGGCAAGATCCTTATTGTGACTGAATTCTTACCTTTCAAGAACAATTAGAAATCGTATATTTGTTTGTATAATTTTATATGTGGTTTGCTGACTGATGTAAACTTTTATGACACATCATGACCAAAGATAATATTACCACCAAGGGATGATTTCAAAGACCAGAACAGGCTATATAACTTACCAGTAAAGTGTTGCTGGATCAGCACCACGACGTAACTCCACAATAGGTTCACTTCTGACATTTTTCAAGTCTTGAACATTAAAAACACGAATTAGGGTTCCCTGATGACAATATAAGAAAACAAGTTATAGCATATACTTCAGAAGGTGAAGCTACATTTTTACTGAACAAATTCAGAGTTGCAATTTAACCTTCTGAATGTATAATTTGTTCCTAACATTTTCCACACTTTTATGTATTTTTCTACAATTTTTTACACTCATATTGCTTTGATTGTTATCAGTTTTGAAGCACAGTAAACCACACATCGAGAAACGACATCATGTTTTATTTCACTAACAGTGAATTCAGTTACCATCATTATGTTACAAAGTGGACAACTCAATCTGAAAAAAGGGCAAGAAAAAGGACATTTTTAAAAAGAAAACCATACACTCATCCAATGTAAGGGGCATGTACTTTATATTACTATATGAAATTTGTTATCCATATTTTAACCTATATCTTGAAAAATTCAACTCGGCCAAGCTCTAATACTAATCAACAATAAAATAAGTTTGTAAATAGCAATTATTGCATGCAGTTATTATGAAATTATTACATTTAAGCTAACTTCATAACATTTTGCCATTTTTGATGAAAATCCAGAGTGGCAGCAAAACCATGAGACCGATCAAATTTAGTTTATTTTTTTTGCGATGGCTTGGACCCCAAATAAACCCACAAGAAAAATTACAGAAACATTATGGACTAAATTGCACTATGTAATGACTTATCAACTTTAGTTATAGATAAGCTTGTCAAATTGCTCACTAACATCTGATAAAATGTAACGCAGCAATGTCTTGTGAATCATCACAATTAACTTCTTTTAAATAGTGACTCACTTTCTTAGAAGCTGTAGCTACTCTGTTGCCACGCTGATTGATAGCAATGCAAGCTATCTCATTTTGATGTGCACTTATATTAATGGGTGATGATGAGGATCCTTGCTCTGTAGCATTTAAATTAAAAATCTGTAAACTTCCACATTTATGTCCAGGAAATGCAAGGATGGGATTTTCAGTACTGCAGCTTATTTCACATAAACCTGGAAGTAAATTGATGAAAATCAATTGCAATAACACAAAGCAATATTAAATTATTATAAGAAAAATCTAAATTGGTCTTTTAGGTAGAGAAAATAAAACACTTGCGAGCGACCATAATACAGGAAGTACAACAGGAAATCACCTATTTTGCTGGGTTGAACATTTTAGGGCTAACTGAGGAGGAAGCAATGGGAGAATCATATATTGGAACATTGTTTATTGAATCCCTTATTAAATTCCCGAAATATATTCAAATTTACATGTGTGCACAAGAGTATTATTATGTTACAAGCAAGCAATGGCAGAGATGAAGTGAGTCATGTGACTAAGGACTTTAATAACACAAGCTGAATGCAAATCATACAAACCATTAGGGTTCTCTCTTGTGTCAAAGGAAAATAACTTGACTGGCTTATTTGGAAAACTGTAAACGTAGATTCTTTTTTCAAGTATAATCGCAATCCTATAAAATTAAACAATCCAGTTTACTAAGAGAAACAATCATAAAATCATGTACAGTAGAATGCATTAATTACTTCATAATCGTATAAACTTTGGAAGACTTACTTGTTACCAGCCGTGTGTAGCCGTACTCCAATTACAGGCAAAGGAAATGTCAATTCTAAGACAAATTTCTTTTGAATATCATCCCATATCAAAACTACAAAAGAATGAAAACAAAATAAGTGCACATTTTCATTGTAAGATTACTGTAAAACATGTTGAAAAAGCGGCATGCAATTTTAGCGAATCGTGGTAATAGCGAAATGTTGATTTAGCGAATCTCTTATGTCATTGTTGATTTCTTTGTTTAGCGGCAAATCAATTCTCTCGCTAAATTCACGAAAAAGACATGCTCGCAAAAAAGACATGTTTTACAGTACGTTATATAGGAATGTATATGTACATGTGTTCCATGTTATGTATATAGATCGTCGTAATTGTCACATTTCATGTACACATGCTGAGAGATTGGTTGACAAGAACCAGTCATTCACACACCAAGATAAATATCAGCATTGTTGGCTTCATGTGTTATTAAATATAAACATATACATGTATGTGTCTCTGTTAATAAAAGTCACAGACAATGATATCAAAGCAGATCACAACCCAGTGCTGATCAGTGGGTGACATTTGTTATCACACATTCATATGATGGTTGTCAAAAATGTAAACATATGACATCACAGAATGATTGGACTACAATGGCCACCAGTCAGCCAAATTGAACCAGATTTTAAAATAATCTATGTGCATATACCTTACATAAAATGATGTATCATGTATGTGTGAGTGTGAAGATAATTCAGAGGCATCTGAACATATTTTTTTTAAAAAGCTCATCTTATTAGAATCTGATCCATAAATTAAACACATATATCAAAGTCTTTTGATATCAGACTAAATAACGCATGTACCAGGTTTGAATAAAATCCATCCATTAATACCCATGATCTGGTTCTGGAATGGAGGAAATGTTTGATCCAAAATGGCCACCTTGAATCAAATTATGAAATGAATGTAAAGACATATTATGTCTGACAGTCAGTCTGACATGATGTGTGTGTAGTTTGAATTTGATCAGTGGAGGCAAGTCAGAAGTACAGGTTCAGATGCACTGACATGTAGATGTACAGAGGTATAAGTCCTTGTTTTCGGACAGGGATGAATTAGCAGTAAACAGGAAGAATATTAATGTGCTATATTCTAAGTGATGAATAATAACGATATAATAAATGTGTACCTGTATTGTCAGCAAATTTAGGTCTACTACCACCACCTACGATTGCAATTAGATTAGTTCGGTTCAACATTTCAATCTGCTCAACACTGCCAACTTCATCGCTATCTGAAAATTAAGTTTAGCATGAAAACACTCTTGTCAAGAAATAAAGGCACTGTGGGCAGAATAGAAATGAAAACACTCCTGTTAAAAAAATATTCCATATTTCAATGGATGTACTAACTACCGGTACTGGTACATACAGGTAATTAAATATTCAGTTCATGAAACAATTGGTCAAACAATATGCACATTACAAATGAACATGTAATCACTGAAGGTATAGTGGCAAAATCAGGCGTATAATGCAAAAGTGCCTGCACATTTTGATGGTTCATATTACATATATACTTATTTACACTATGCTGAATTAAATTCACATGATCATGTCAAATTACAATATGCATATGCTCAAAATAGTGAAATTGAATGTCATTGAAAATAAAATGGTTTTACAGTGCCTGGAATACAGCACAAGTATAACAAATCCCAATATGTTACATTATTAACTGTGTTAATTGATTGCATTGTGAAATTGAGTAATTCCTCTTACCTAGATGTAACTTTTCTGCTAATGGTTCTACATTATATATTCGAACTCCACTCTGCATGGCACAGGCAAAACAACCTACAAAACAAGTCAGTGTCTAGTCTTGATGTTGGTTCGATTCAAATCAGATAACAATCTAAGAAATTCAGACGTAAATATCAAAATATATATATTGTGATATTCTTTTTTTTCTTGTTATACCCCAAGGTGGGGGGGGGGGGTGGCCATGCTAGTGACAATAACGTTATATAACAAAAGAGCCCATTTCTCGGATACGCATTTAAACTTACCCTGGTCTTGGTTGAATCTCAAATTAATGACTTCTCTTGAACTCATTTTAGTTGAGTTTTCGTCATGAATTTTGAAGATAAATAATAGGTCAAATGACAACACAAAGCAGCATGCACTAGCAGCAGCAGGGCCGTAAATCGACGACTCAGCGGACAGAAATCAGAAAAAAACACGTCGTACTGATGATTGGCACTAGACGAAGAACCTAAGATTTGCGGCAGATACAGAGTAATGTGACAGAATCTTTAAAAGTACAAATGCCAGTACGAAAGTCAGAAAAAATGAACAACATCGAGATTATGACGACATTCTCATTGAGAAGCCATTTTGTTTATTTTTCCAGCTGAAAAATGACCCCCTAAGTTATTTAAATTTGGCATGATTCAGACAAACTCAACATGTGATGGCGCCTGTTCCTGGCAGTGCAATATACTGTTTTTCTTCACTCCTTTTTGTTGTGCACATACGCTACTTCATGCAAAACAGCTACGTAGTGGCCAAATAAAATGTGCCTCAAACCTAAGTGAAAAAAACAACAAATAAACAAATGACCAGGGTGGTATAATTTATGTTTGCAATGTGAAAGTTGAACTCAACGTCGTAAACTTTTTGTTGATACAAAATAATTCAGCTTTTTAGAATCTAACTATGATGACGACATAAACCTATTCCCTGGTTAAAGGGCGGTGTTCGTCGCATACAACGTATATAAAATACATTGTTTGTTTACTTGAAATTAGAACACAAGCTGCGACGATGACGACCGAGATACTGAATTGTTTGAGTCACGGACTTCGAGTTATGAAAACATCACCCACTTTTGCTAAACCACGCCCAAATATTAACTCAAAGTCCGGTGTTATAATTAACAGATAACCGAGCATCGCGTTATGGGAAACATACAACGTTAAACAAAACAAAAAACTGTTAATTAAACTGTTGATTAAATAAAGATTAACTAAGTTACTGAAAGTTACTAAATTCTATGTAGATTGAAACTCGCTGCAGCGCCATCAGCGACCCGGTACAGTGACACCTCTTATATCGGCCATTTAACCAGATGCAAAAACAAAAAAAACACTTGATTATTTTCAATTTCAGCTGACTATGTTTTGTTCATTATTTACTTATTATGTCATACCTGTGACTCGGCTTTGGACTCACATATTCGCCAAGTAGTGTTATCGTAGGACAGTATTTCCATGAAAGGCATACCTTTAAGTTAGCAAATAGTTTATGCTGGTGTTAGATAAATGAGATTCCCACCTCTATATCGGATATTAATTGATACAAAAAGATGGAGAATTGTAATGATTATAATATGTATAGTATGAATATCGTTGTATGTAGAAAGTTAACAAAACCATCACCAAAGTTTGGTCAAGATTCAAAAGACGTGCAAATAACTGATAGTTCACAGCCATGCAGTACAACATCACTTGGTAAATTTGAAATTGGTGATTAGAAGCACATTACTGGAGGAAATAATTAATATTAATAAATACTTCAACTACTATCCAACAACCGTGACGAAAACAGCCCTGGTACAATTTGGACCGAGCCGAGGCCAATACGATACAGAACAAAGCTCATGCAACTTCGAGTTTATATTTATTTAGAAGGTTCTGGTTCTTGTTTGTGTACATTTCTGTCACTCTGTCTGGCTGTCATAGGGACTGGACACACGTAGGATATGAGAAACTTGGTGTCCGAAATCGTGTTCTTGAATATCCAAGATAAAATTTACAGCCATAGAGGATTCTAACTGCATGGTTTATTTGTTGATATTGTGCATTTTTCTCCAATATTTATCGCAGCATTTTAATATCAAATACTTCGTATTTGCTTTAATTGCAGCATGGCGTATCAAGTGACACAGAATTCCTCTTCATTTGAAAAAAAGTCTTGTTGATAGAGAAGATATATCAAGTGTATTTAGGTGGTATTTCGGAAGTATGGTCCGCGCTACGTGGAAAAACAACTGGGACGTCAATAATGATATGAATAATGAGTATATGATAGCGGATGTAGCATGGAGACAAAAATGACAATACAACTTGTTGTCTCATTGACATTCCGTAAATTTAAAACTCAGTGATTATGATCAAAAATCAAAATTATAATGGTCTAATTACAATAACATACAGTAGCATCACAACATAACATAACACAACATAAATGACATGACATGACCTCCAATATAACCAAGACATGTTATCGAGTGGGTGTTTTGAATAGAGGTGTGCTGACCATGCTCCACGTATGTATACACGTTATGACCAACAGTGGATTATAATTATGAATTGTTGGCAAATATTCATTTGGCATTTGTTTTTATTTATATTCATAACTAAAATGAACTAGAATGTAGTCCATATAGAACCTAGTCGGGGAAAGCTCGTACGTTAGTAACTATAGCGTGTCAAATATGCTTAAAGAATAAACTAAAATCCATAAGTTGTAGCCATCAATAGAAACATGCTTTACACTCACTGTATGTAATTGTATTTCCATATTTAAGTGACCTTATTAATTATAATGTTTCATTTGTATTGGTTGTTTGCATAATGGTGCTGGAAGCGGTTCTTATTATTATGCAAAATATTCAAGGTGGAAGAAGAACGATTGAAATAAAAATGAATGCTTGTGATCTAAATTTGAATGATGTACATTATTGTTTCCAATTGATTGGTAATTGGATTAAGGTGTTTCCATTGAAATTGTATCACATGTTGTTATGTCGTTGGAATTAGATCCATGCGTTTGTAGGCTTTTTTCGTTCCTAAACTATTCTAAAAATTTATTTTTCACTGAAAAGAACAAGTGTGACCCAAACTTGTGTTTTATACTATAATAAACTCTTGTTCGTATTGATGTTTGAACAAATATTTTCAATTTCTGTCGAAGTTATAAGTTATAGTCAGCCACCTCAGGAATGAGACAAATTTGTGTATTTGATGCACACTTATGATGCTTAAAAATAGTCGCAGAAATAAAAATAAAAAACGAGATTTGAATTAAATTGCGGCAGTCGTCGCGCCGCGTTCTGTTCGATATGGGACTCATAGCGACGTATACAACGCGTGTAAAATACATTGTTTATTTACATGAAATTCGAACACGCGCTGCGCGATGACCACCGCGCTTTAAGTTTGTTTCTGGTAAATTAAAATCCTTACTTAATTTACAGTAACTTGTCTTAGAAATAGTTTAATATTTAACACAATAATCAAGCGAACATAAACTGTATGCAGTGAGTGTCATCAATCAAACAATGAGATATAATCAACTTTTGACCAAATAAACACCAGAGAAGCAATAACCTTGATACAAATAAACAAGAAAATATTATGTTATTGTTGTGAATACTTAAATGCCTATATTGATGCATAATTTATTACGCACGTGTGTTCTATTGTAGTGTATTACATAACACAAGTTATATAACTTTAGGATTATAGAATGTAAGGTTATATTTAAACCAAAATATAACACGCAAAAATATAATAAAACATATGTATATTTATTGAATGTTTCTCCGAGACTTCTTTCTTAATTGACATAGTGTGTTTATTTTCTAAATAAGGGCATTTCGTTTTTTTACAAGAGAATCTATAGCTAAAATCTAGACTGAACGTTTTTTAAATGTCATGTTTGATGTTAGATCACATACTGTATAGGCTTATCATCAACTATTAAATGACCTCAATATACATTGTAATACAAAATGCGATTACTATATTTTAATATGGTTATAATTTCATCATAGTACGGTAAATACGGTAACCTGACATCGAGACCAAAAACAATAGCGTAGCGGCTTTTTTTTTCTTGCTGATGGTGTACTTGTGACAGGTGCTATGATTCGCGTGAAGCACGTTGATCTGCGTAATAATAAAAAATAAAATAAACGAAATTAAAAAGATGTGCGACAGAGATGAAATCAAATAGAAAAAGGCCGGCGTTAACAATGCCTACTGCCGCCAATGTTTATAATTATTATAAAACATTATACTTACATTATACCAAAGACACTGGAAAATATTTTCTAACCGAACCGCAAAAATCCAAACGAATGGATCGGCGAGGCAGATTACATTCTCCATCATTCTGGTAGGAGTTAGTTCGCGCATCATAAAAACAGTAGTTTATAATTATATGGCTTCGTTGACTTTATTGTATTGTATAATCACTCGCGGCATACGTGCAATGTACACGTTATTCTGGAATTACATGTAACCAGTAACATCATCATTATTGTATTATTAGTACACAGGAAAATGGCTATAGTTAATGAGAACAAAAAAATACAAAACCTAAAAAAATATATAAACAAACCAGGCAAAACGAGAAAGGACAATCAATTTACTCTCAACGCAAAACTGTTTGTTAGTTCAGAGCTTGATAACGGATACCGGGCGTTTCATTCGTGATATTCTAAAATGAAATAAAATTATTATATCATAATCAATGTCGCCTTGGTTACACATATTCTGTATTTTTCGGGGATGCTTTACTACTTCGGTGTTGGGTCAGTGGTCACTTAGACGAACTTAGAAAGTGTTAACTTAATTGAGCATTCAGAAAATATATTTAGCTTGTCACAAGGTCCGTTTTAAATTACAGGATATATTAAGTTATTTATAAATTCTTGAGGTATAGGTATGTTATGACAACTGAGGTAGGAATATTTCAGATTTACACAGTAACATGATTATACGGACCGCATTGTATGTAGCAATCATGATTACGTTAACGTGTGCAGGATAAACGTTCAAGCCCAGTTCGAAAAGTTCAACGTGTGACAGCGTTTTTCCGCTAATTCTACCCGTCATTGTGGTTTCTACATCCCATTCTACGACCGAGCACGAGCCGACCTCCACCCCTGACCTACCTGCAGTCGTGCGGACGTACATGTATTACTGTAAGATACACGCGTCCACGCCCACATTTATTATATGCTTGAACCATTAATTGATTGGCAAAAATCTCCAGGTACATATTCTTTACACTATACCGAGGGGGGCAAGGGGTAGCTGGTACAGTTTTACGGGAAATAAAAGGGGCTTTTTACAATTTACAAGAAAAAAAAGACGTTTTTACAGTTTCGAAAATGTAATTTCCCTGGATTATTCTTTACGACTTTTTTTATTTGGATGTAAATTCTTGTACGTACCGAGAAAAATGACCAATTTTTACAGTGTACTAAACAAATATTTGATTGATTACGTTGTACGTCTAGCCTGTGATTACAGAATTACGGAATTTATTTTTTCAATTTACGTTGTACGAACAAAAAAATATTGCAATTACGTTGAACGATAATAACCCTTGCCCCCTCTATACCTCATTCAGCAACTGTGTATCTTTACTATCACTTTTATTGATACAATTATTACCACGAACGAGCTGTGATTATTTGGTTCCTTTGTTTGCGGGTAGTAATTATTAAGTTTTGTTATACACTTGTTTTTCGTGATTAAATTGGTTAAAGGGCGGTGTTCGTCGCGCCGCGTCCTGTTCGATACGGGACCCATAGAAACGTATACAACGCATGCTGAGCGACGACCACCGGCGTTTAACGTAATAACTTGTTACCCCTGTTATGCTGTGTTCGTATATCCCAAATACTATGTCTATGAATTGGTTACTATCTTTATATGTATTAAAAACAATGTCTAATTGACTGTATATGGGCGAGAGAACCTGCAACACTAACGATAATTGAATTTGATTTTCATTGGAACCCACTATTTGTAATTTGCATAATTGATCTGAATATTCTTCAAATGAACCTCGCGATACCCATAGACTGACGTCCAGCTAAAATCTGTTATTATAATGGTAACCTGGTTACGTGTAACAATAGTCATTGTCTAGGGGGTTTAATGTATATTTACAGCCAGCCACTCAGAACACAATACTGAGTAGTCTATTTATAGTCCGTTAATACACCACAACCTGTCCCAGCACATCAACAGCCTGCAAAATTGTTTCATAGTTGCAATACTCCACTGACAGTGCGGTGGTACATCAGTCTTAGGGCTCATGTTATTACTAGCACATTGTCTATATATAGCTGCCGCTCCCACCACTTTCACCGGGACAGCTATTCCACTATGGGGGTTGTGTTGCCAACATGTTGGGCCTGTGTCGCCTTCGTGGCTTGTACGACCCTGTTGATGTACGCTCTACGGGCGATATATCGCCGCCTTCTGCCGTCAAAATATCATGCATACGCTGCAGAGACTTTATCTACATTCCAGTTGGTCGTCGGGGTACTGGAAAGCGATATCGTCCTAGAAGCCTACGGTGCCGTCGGCTACGCATTCTACCTGTTTTGTCTATTTATCTCGTTCACCTTAACTTTTGACGGGACGGCCAGTGTTTGTTCGGTCTGGGAGGAAATGCTGAGCGGTAAAAGTGATGTGGTTAAAGGTCACATTAAGATAGCCTGTCAACTACTGGGCGGTTTACTAGCACCAATATATGTGAAGCAGTTTTGGAAAATGGCAATGTCGGAAACGCACTTATCTAAATCGCAGTTTTTAGATCTGCAGTGCGAGTCTGCTCTCAAAGTACCGATAATACCAGGAATGTTTGCAGAGATGATGGCAACATTGATCAGCACACTTGTGTGTAATTTCCATATCGGCGGTGACAGACTTTCCATGTACATCGAACATCTAACTTCGGTTACAATTATAATAATCGGTATGTAAATCCATTACCTTATAAATACTAAAATAATATTTCCAAGATTTATAATAAAACGCATATTTTTGTCCAATAATTAGATTATTTAGTTCTGAAACTAATGAACTGCCCTGTAAATTGATAACACAATATCGTCTAAATATAGAACTGTCATGCCGCTGTAAAGGAATGGAATTCCAGATATGCCTGATGACGTCGGAGATCGGTGGACATTTGTTGACACTATTTTTTAGCCTGGCGCTCCATATTTCACGCAGCATTTCCGGTACAGCCCCGCCATCTACTTAAAAACAAACAAACAAAAATTTGTTACGCATACTATAATTCAAGTTAAAGAGGGCGTGTTTGAAGCACTAGCAAGGTATATTTCTAAAATATGTACATCATCTTTAATTTATCACTGCTAATTATGAATAGGCCTCATAGTAGACCCTAAAATAGAAAGCAGGGCAAGACAGGGTTGTGCAAGTACCGGTATAGATAATCACGCAGACTTTTCAGTAGGCTTACAAAAGCACGGTATAGATTCTTGTAAAACGTTTACACGATAATATCCTTAACAATATGGCATACTGCAAACACACAACATGTGTGTATAATTACCATACTGGACACGACAAACCGGGAATGCATCTAATCATTCTATTTCAATCATCCAATCGAATCCACGTAACTCTGAACGTTAGACATGGTACAATCACGGAACTATACTGTAGTTTTATGGTACAATATAGTCGTGGGCCACTGCTTCTCAACTCGAGACACCTTGCAAAGTTTGTCAACTTAAATCTACGTAAGTTCACATTTGTATGCATGATTCAAAATGTAGATTATTCTGGCGGCAAATAAATGTTGAATATAAATTAATAGAAATTCTGATAGCAGCGTGAAACTTGAAATAATTCCACGCAAGCAATTTAAGGATAATAGCGCCATCACACAATGATTTATGTCACTGTCTCTCCACAGGTATGGAATACACGGGCATGATGTTCAATCCAGCCTTGGCAACATCTTTGACGTACAATTGCTTGAACCACTCAATGGTGGAACATCTTCTGGTTTATTGGTTTGGACCATTTCTAGCTGTGGTGTTGATATGGATGTTAACAAAACCATCTACTGTGGATGTAGCAAAGAAAACTGCATAAACATACTATCATATAAATTTATCTTTTATTTTTAAAAACTCTGAAGAAAACTTTTTTAATATACCGTGTATGTAACTTAGTGAATTTGCACTAACACATTGACACCAATTATCTGAACTGAACAAATAGACAACCTATTTGGCCCGTGAAATCATCTCTGCTTTCTACTTCGATATTCGTAAAGGCATTTTCCGTTTGTCATTTATTAGCCCATTGGTGAAATATAATTTGTTTTTATTCAGTGTGGACGCATATTTTTCTATTTCATTCTTGGTAACACTAAAATCATCATTTCACATAATATCAGTCCATCATTAGTTACTGATATGACCAGAAATATACTGCACACTGAGAATGACATGACACACAGATGGGAGCATTAGTAAAAGAATTGCACCAATTTCTATTTAAAAATAAAGGTGCAATTTCTAGTAAATTGTTATTAAAATATTGTGTTGACAAAACACGGTAAATTGCATTGTGTTTATTATAGATAGATCTGGCTTTAATTGCTCAAATGAAACACGAGACTCTGTGATCAACGAGTGCTAGTTTAAAAATAAACGCACAGCCCCTCCAAAATAACTTATTGAACCAACCACGTGAAGTAGTATGGGACACAGGCATTCCACATAAACAATTCTCAGTATAGCGTTCATAAAATGGCAAAATATAAAATAAAGCAGAGCATCATGAATATTTTTGGTTAACTTTTTACAAATTCCAAAATGACGAGTATCGATGCCCCTTTAAAATGACCTTCTATCGACCCTTCAACACAATCTTATACAATTTATAACACACATAATGCAAAGTTCATACCTTCATTCACAAAACTGCAAATGTTTGGGTGTATTTGAAGTCTAAAATTTAGGTTTCTGTCACTATTAAAATGAAATTTTGTGTTGCGCTTAGCCCCATGCACAAGAACAAGAACAGAGAAGAGACAAATAATTGCTTAGACCCCATACTAACGACAATCATATTTTGAGTTGAATTACCGCGAAAAAGAGCACACAGAGCAAAGGGCATTGTACTCGGGAACTATGCAAGGTTGATTTTGATTGGTTTAGTGAAAATTATACTTGCCATTGCTACATTGGGCTAAGCTAATTTGCATGCCAAAGTGAAGATTTCCAAATGTTTCAAAATGCTACGCAATGTATAGAACATCAACACTTTGGTCTCAAAATTCCAAAGTCTTATTTCTCTGTAAGATGGCTGAATTTTTGATACTCAAGAAGTGGATAAAATTGATGCATTTGTAAAAACCTTTCTCTGACCACTGCAACTACGCTGCGACATAACGAATCAATAGCCATAATTACAGAGCCTATATGTTGGTTGTAAAAGGACGTACAACATGTACAAGAACCCAGAAGAGACAGTGCCGATTTATAAAAGATAATATCCGCGAATTGACTGAGGCAAATGTACCTTGATTAAATGATGCATTTCAATGTACAGACTATGTAATCGAACAATTTAACACATACATCAGGCATTTGCGATATACATGTCTATTCATTTGACTACCGGATTCAAGATGTCCAGATAATGGCCATTTTGAGTTAAAAAAGTGTTAATTCGTTGCAATCTCTGCAGAATGTCTACCCAGCCTCTGTGTTGTATTTTTATATGATATTCATGTTGTCTTCACCTTTCTGCCAGGTTTTATCAGCTATTGTATTAGTGTGACAGTATCTCGTTTATCAGGTGTGTGACGATTTTTAAGCCCCCTATAGTTTGGTAGTAGGCTGGCTCTTTGAGCTTCTTATTACGGTTTTCGTGTTAACATTGTGTCTTGTACCCCCCAGTAATTGAAGTAATAGTCTACAGTGACTAAATAATCATTTCAACATACCAACCAACCGTTTGACTCGTCACATCTGTCAATATAGTCCTGGTCTTCTGCTCGAACTAGACAAAACCATTATTCGCTTCTTTTTGGGTGAAAATTGTTTACAAACAATCGCAAAGAAAG